AAAAAAGTTGGATAATTGTTCTTGACTAAAATACATGTAACAACGAATTCACTGCACGAATGTAGATTAAATTTTGATTTTAAAACAAAAGCAGCTATAAAGGACATTTATGAACCAATTGGAGAAATGTGAACATGAACCAAAGTAAGATTATGAGATTATTAGTAATATTATTAGATGTTAAAATAATTGTGGCTATTTAGGAGAATGTCTTTTTACTTAGGAGATGTATGTTAAAATGTTTAGGGGTAAAGTGTTACGATGTTTATAACTTACTTTCAAATACAACAAAAGGATATATATATTTATGCACTTATAGAAAGATAGAGCAAATGTGGCCAATTATCCACAATTATTGAATCATGGAAGATAATATATGAATACTAATTTTAGTCTTCTTTGATTATTTTCCACGTGTTTGAAATGAAAATTTGGAGAAAAGAAATAAGATAATATAATTTATCATGTTCATGTATATATGAAGAAAAGATATTTTTTACCTATTTTTGTAAAACAGAAAACCCTTCTACTATAGTTGGAAGAGATGGCTATTTCTTCTAAATATCTCCCATGCTGAAAACTGGCCCATAGTAGTGATTAATAAATTATTTTTGAATAAAATGGGCAAAAATTCATTTAGCTTTTTGATAGCAAACGCACAGTTGTGTGCATAAATAAATGCAGAAATATTTTATATACAAAAATATAGATAAAAAGATCCTAAAACAAATATTAAATGCAGAACAATATTAAAAGAATATGCTACAATAGCTGAGTAATTTGTACTAGGATGGGAAGCAGTGCAATATTATGATATCCATTGATACAATCATCACTTCAACATTAAAGAATAAAAATACAGAGAAATCAACAGAAACTAATAAGATTAACAGCCATTTCTAAAGAAAAGAAAACAAAAGTTTAAAAAATATTTCTGTTATAGTTGGTATAACAGATATTTTCTCTCTCATGATAATTGTCAGGAAATTTATTATTATACATTAAGCTATAAAAGTCAGCATTCAACGTTTCAACTATGGTGCAGAAAAGGTATTTTATAGAATTCAACATCTTTTCTTGATTAAATTTCTTAGCTTAGCTAGAGAGAAATTTCTCAACGTGATGAGAATTATTTACTGAAAGCAACAGACATCATAACTAATGATGTGACATTCATATTATAGACAGACTCGAGACCAGGATGACTACTATCAAGACCATTATATAACATTGTTTTAGAAGTTCTAACATATGCAACATGAGAAGAAAAGAAGTGGCTATAAATATTTATTTCAAGTAAGAAACAAAATTATCATTTTTATAGGGAATATGATTGCCTAATTTTGAAACCAAAAAGGATCATCTATTATAACAAATAAAGGCTAATGATGTCACTTACAAAATGAATATACACAAAGCAATAGATTCATCTTAGGCCATCAATAAACAGTTTGAAAATATAATGAAACATGTTTTAATTGAAACAATGACAAAATATGTAAAATACTTCTTAAAAAAGAAAAATATATAAAATTTATCTGAAGTTTACTTCAGAAACTTTTTTCAGGATTTTTCTCAAACTCTTCAGAGCACATAAAAAATGATACGACAATGGGAAAACATGATCTATTCAAAGATTACTATTATATAATGTTTTATTTTCTATGAGCTCATCTATTCCTTTAATTCTATTCTAACCAAATAACAGTGGGAATAGTTTGATGTTGCGTAAGGGATTACTTTCCCAAATGATTCGGAAACTCATTTGGAGAAATAAAGATTTCTGGCTTCAAGTCAGGGCAGATTGGCTTGTTGCAGATCCAGCCTCCTGTTCATAACAAGTAGAAATGCTGAGCAAATTTAAAGCATCTAGGGAGGGTGTCAGAGGCTACCAGGACAGCAGGTGCCCGAGGTGGGGAGGAGAAGTGCAGAGAGGTGAGCTTGACATTAGCCACCAGCTTTCCTCTGGAGACATTTGTCTTTTGCAAGTGGGGCCTGAGAGCCTGCAAAGCTTGTCAGAGATTTTGACAGTCTCACAGAACTAGAGGAATGACAAATGGGGTTCTGGGTCCACCGAGGAGGAGGAGCCATCCTCCAAAAGGCTACTAGTACCTAGGAGTAGAGGTGAACAGAAACAAGGACAAGCCTTTAAAAAGACAACCCCATATTATGTTAAGCGAAATAAGCCAGACAGAGAAAGACGAACTCTATATGACCCCACTTATAGGTGGAAGTTAACATATAGACATGGAGAACCGATCGGTGGTTACCAGGGAAAAGAGGGGGTGGGGGGAGGGCACAAAGGCTGAAGTGGTGTACCCACAACATTACTAACAACAATGTACAACTGAAATCTCACAAGGTTGTAATCTATCATAATCTTAATAAAAAAAAAAAAAAAGACAACCCTAGTTGCACCTCAGCTCAGTTGCTGAGTGGATTCTGATGAGTTTCCTTTCCCATGACTGTTGACAGAAGCCAGGATCTGACTCAGCACTGGCTTGCCTTACCGCACTCATCTCACCCTAATCCTGACTCTGAGGGATCCCGACTGTATTTAAAATTTTAATATTTTAATCACAGTCAATCTTTTGAATTAATTTTGAGTTTTTAAAATATTGCATTAAAATATTTATCTCCATGGCTAAGGTTTTGGGGCACCCTTAAATTTTGGGCCCGGGGTGAGGTCCTCACTCTCCTCCTCCTAATCCCAGCCTCGAATCCTTCACCGACAATGAGTAAATTCCATTGCATGCAAATTACATCTTAGTAAAGTTGTTAAAAAATAACGTAGTGAAATGGTTTTACTTTTATCAGTAATCAAGGAAATAAAACTCAAAGCATAAATACACCATATCATTCACTTATCCTATTGGCAAAGATAAAAAGACGTCTGGCACACAGTTTGGTAAGAGGTTACTGAGGCAGATACTCTCAAAATTTACTGATGAGCATATATATTGGTATAGCTTTTGGGAAAACAAATTTGGCAATATCCATCAAAATCTTTGCTATGTGCACACTCTGGCACGGAAAGATGAATCTACAAGGATGTCCATCACAGCATGGTTTAAAAGACTGTCAAGTAGAAACAATCTAAATATTCAAAAGCTGACACAGGTTAAGTAAACCACGTTTATGCATCAGACGTAATATTGTCAAGCCATTAAAATGTTTTACAAGTGTATTTGCTAATATTGAAAAAATGCCTTTTAAGTGAAGAAAAGGCAACTTCAGAACACTGCATAGAGTAATTTTGAAAGTATATATTTATAAAGATACCTAGAAAAAAGTATCTGAAAGATTTGCACCACAATGCCAACTTATTACTAGATAGCAGATTAAGAAGGGACTGTTATCCTCTCTGGAGGAAAGAAGCAGAACATGTCGATTAAGGATGAGGGCTCTTCAAGTCTAACCTCCTGGACTTGCATCCAGCTTCACTGTTCACTGACTATATGACCTTTGGCAAGATTCTAAAACTTTTTGAACCTCTGTTTTTTCATCTGTGTAATGGGGATAATACCTACTCCACAGAGTTGTTATAAGGATAAGATGAAATAATCCATGTAAATGGCTTAACATGGTACCTGCTACATAGAAAGTGTTTGCTTAGCCCTATTAATATCTTACAATGCTCCTTTTACTTTAATGAATATGTAAAAACTTAAATATCTGCCATGACCCTATTAAAGCAAAAACAACAGAAGTTAAACCTTCTCCTCTCTTTACACGTGGTTTTCGCAAAGTAGAGAACTCATTTTCTCTACCACTGGATAAATTTTTGTCATCAGTGGATTCACAGGACCTAAGGTCACAGGTGGTACACAGGTAAAAGAGGAAGATCTATAATTGCTACCTGTGGGAAACTGTTAAGGAATACTAACAAGTGAAAAAGTCACAGGAGGCTAATACTACAAAAGCCTAATGTTACTCATAAAGAGATCTCATTTTCAAGTTTGATTAGAAGAAACATAGCTTAGCAGAATATCTTTAACTGGATTCTTTCCCCATTTACTGCCAGGGATCTCAACTTCTCTGCCCTGAGTCCAGTGAGTTTCTTTTTCTTGTTCTACCTAGTTAATTGCTTAAATTTAACACCTCTGTAGGTGATGCACACCTCGGCGGGAAACCAGCTCTTTTGCTCTGGACCTTCAAAGCAAATTGCTGAAGTTGAGTCTGATCTAAAATATCAAGGGAGACGAGGCTCTGGACGAGATGAGGTCAGACGTTCCTCCTGCACCTTTGCGTTGGGAGTTGGTGTGGTGCTTAAGGACAGAGAGAAGAATGTACAATGTTTTATGATTTGGGGCTTCCAGTCTTTTTGAAGCCATTTACTTTTCCGAGACAGGGAAGAGTCAGGACACTGTCTGACCCCCATGATGTGACAGAGCCTCTCAGTGGATCATGTATCCTACGTATGCTACTACGTCTCTGACACTCTTAGCTATTGCAGCGTGGCAGCTGGGGGCTTGGGAAGGTGTTACTGTACTATAACAGAAACAAGAGCTATAAAAAACAGAAAACGGGAAAATTATTAATGATGAGTTATCTCATACATTCACTGTCAATTCTTGGTCTTTTCTCTACCAGATCCCTGAAATCAGTTTCAGGATACATGACAACCAAGTTTATTTGAGTAGTACTACCCACAATAAAATGAATAAGCTGGTGTCTTGGTTTTCCTCTCTTAATGTTTGTCAGCATTGCTTAATGTTAGAGATCTCTGAGAAAGAAGACATTGTGTTTTGTTTACTTTTTAAAATTTTTTAAACTTTTTCTAATTACATTTTATGATTCTCTTTGCAGAAAACTTAGAAAATCTTAAAAAACAGAAAAAAAGATACCCACAATCCCAACAGCTAGAGATAACCCTGGGATGTTTCTCTTCAATATTTTTGCTTTAGTTTTAATTTAGTTCGTTATCACAGAAAACCACACAGATAGGCACTTATTAAATACATAGATATGATATTAACGGCTGGAAATCTATTACCCACCTGCTATTGGTGGTGACCCAGTTGCAATAGTCTGTGCAGAAATAAAACCTATAAAGACAAGTTGCGGAAATTACTTAAAATGCGTTTCCCAAATAGGTTCATAGATATTTTCAATAACTCTCCAGAAAACATAGTAAACATAGAAACATAGAAACATAGTAAAAAGAAATTCATCACAAGAATATTAAATTCAATTTCCCAATTTAAGTCAGTGTAAGTCAATTTTGAGATACTGTCCCTTTTTCCCCGTCTTAGGAATTCTTCTCCAGGCATTCATAGTGGACTGTCCATTTCTTCCTAAAAACCCAGTTTCATACCAAGCTAAGGAGATTTACAGGTTTGGGAACTAGCCTACAGCTCACCCGAGGCTGACCTCTGACGATTCATTGAAATTTAGAGATGGAGGGGACTTTACATGCCAGCTAGGCTCTGCTTTACTCAGCAGGCATGGGGACACCAAGGCCCGTGGGGGTTAACTGATTTTCCATAGCTAAACTAGTCTGCAGTCAAATTCTGGTCATTTATCATTTCTGCAACTATTATTTATTGAGTGCCTACCATGTGCCTAGCAATGTTTGGGATGCATAAATGAAGACACAGGCTTTATTTTGAAGAAATCCATAGTCTTGTGGTCCCTGAAACCCAGTTCAGAACTCTTCCCTGGAACAATTAAATGGACAGAAAGCCTCTCTTCTTGGATCACTGAAGAAAAAAGAGGTGCCTTGTTTCTTTACTTAGTCACTCTAATCATGTGCTTTTCAAACTGGTGGACCTGCAGACGTAGGTAGTAAGATGCATGGGGTAATCATGGTCTATTTACTCAGAGCTCTCATTTTGCTTAACCAAACAAAAACAAATATTTTCTCCTCCCACTCTGCCCTCCCTCCCTTCCTTTACTTCCTTCCTTGCTGATTCAACCAATATCCTAATGGATATCAAGAGCTGCGCTAGATTCCGGGGATATACTGAGGAATAAAACAGCCATCATGAAACCTGTCCCTTGGATTTTCCAATTAAATCAGTATACTATGACCTAGAATGCAAATTTTGCATACATTTTTAAGTGAAATCAGAAAACTTTTAGAGGGTCCTGGTTTATGACATGATTTCCTTGTTGAAGTGATATAACACTGTTTTCTCAAACTGTTTCTTCGTCTTAGCATTAGAATCTGGTTCCCAAATAAATCTTTGGCTTCCTTGAACACACTGAGTTTCCTCCTGTCTCCGGACGTTTGCCCTTGCTCTTCCCCCACCTTCAGCACCCTTCCCTCAGACTTTGCAAGGTTGGCTTCTTGCTCCACTCTCACTAGAGAAAAATTTCCTGCTACTCTTTTCTAAAGCAGCTTTCTGCATTGTGTTTATCACCTTCCCTGGCTTAATTTTCTTTGTTTAATTTCTCACTGTTTGCCCTTATGTTAATAATGTGCTTGTTCTGTTCAATGGCTGTGTTCCCTCCCACTGCCCACCCCCACACCCCCTGAATGCATCCCCAGAGGGAGGGAGCTCATTTGTCTCACAGCTGTGACCTCAGGGATCAGCACTGACGCGTACTTTACTGAATGAACAAATGAGTGAATGAATTCAGGGACTGGGAATCAAATTATTTTCAGAAAACTAACTCTCCTTTTGGCAGATGACATCTGATATATTTTAGAATTAGAAATCTTGGCTTTGTCCCTAAGACGACTGGAGAAAGCAAAACAATCATATATTTTTCTGTAGCTAAAGATGTTTAACCTGCCTCACACTTTGCAGGTTCTTCTCTTCAACTAATGAGTGGAGGGGGAAAGGCTTGTTCCCGCGTCTTTCTATTAGTTTGTAAAGTAGTCACATCAAGGGAGTTTTTCTGGAAGGCTTCAGACGATGTGAAGATGACAATAGCATTGGCACTGAAGGCCAAAGGAGCCTTCAGAGTCATCAGGCTCAACGGCCTCCTTATGAAGTGTCATTTAAGGCCTTAATCCACTATCTGCTTGAAAAGTTGTAGACATGAAGAATTTATTTCTTTTCTAGGAATCCTTTCAAAATTTTGGGCGGCTCACAGTCACATAAAATTCTTCCAAATATTTTGTCCCCTCCCTCCGAACATGGGTAATATGTCTCAAGTGATTGAGTAGCCCCACTTTGCCCTCTGGAACAACACAAAGAATACCTTTTCTTTCTTCTGTGTCATAGCTCTACAAATATTTGAATATATTTAAACATGACACCATGTACCCTCCATTCATTTTCTTTTCTTCAAGCTGAATGTTTTCATACTTCGCTACTTAAAAAAAATTCAAGCAGCTTTGTTAGGCTTCTGTTTTCCCCTAATTTTCCTCTTCTCCATGACTTCTCAGAAATCGCCATCACATACCCAGGTTTGTTCCCTAGTCTGTAATAACTATCATAGCTAAATATTTATTTGGTGCTTTACTATATGCTAGGCACTGAGGTAACACACATGACATTAATTACTTTTAGTCCTTATGTGATTACCACAAGGCAGGTACCAACAATGTCTGCATTTTACAGATGGGAATGTTGGGGCAAAGCGAGGTAAATAATTTGCCTTAGTTGTTCCCCAGTCTTTCAGATGCGGGAACAGATCTGAACTCAGTTCTGTCTGTCTCTCATGCCTGTGCTTTAACCATTACTCTATTTTATCCCCTAACCTGTCTTAGCAAATGCTGGGTCTCTTCCCTGTCTCCTGCCGAGTGTCCAGGAGATCCTTGATACTTGCTCTAACTTGAATTAGAGCATGCCTGATGGATTAAATATATTCCAAGGAAATGCCTGTTCCTTATTTATGTGCTGGGCACTAGTATTTCTAACATGTAAACACTGCATTTGAGAAGACATTAACCATAATATTCTCAGGAAGAGGCTAGAAATAATGCTAATTTAATACAACTTAATAATACCCCTACCTTATTTCTTTATTTTAATAGATTTATTTAGACTTCTCCCCAAACCACATAACACCGAAGCCAATAAGAGCTGTTTTTGCTTTTTCGTGTATCACACCTAAACAATGGAGCCATGGAGAGGAAAACCACTCCCCCATGGTTTCAGAGTTTGTGCTTGTGGCTTGTACCTTTCTGGCCAGAGAAGAAGGAAATTATAATTTTTTGGAAAACTATTTGAAAACTGAAGACTCTATATCCACCATCACCTTCATTAATGACTCTTTAATTTAGAAGTTAAATTCATTAAAACACAAAGCCACAAATTTATTCACATAGAGATATTTCTCTAATATTTGATAAAATTCTGTTGAGTCTAGCTAGAGCTAGAATTGAAGCATACTTCTCATCCTGGAAAACGGTGATCCAGCCACAACTACTGGGTTCCCTTATACCCTTTCCTCCACCTTGCCAGCTGAGTCCCGATAAAATCCATCCAGTAGACTGGGATCGGAGATTCTACTCATTTATTTATTCAGTTAAATACGATAGTGCTAAAGAGGGGTAGTTTATGTTTTAATCTATAATCTTATATCCAATATAACAGCATCATGCTGAAAAAAAAAAATCCACTTACCTGACAGTAGTAATACAATGATTATTTTTTCGTACATCCTGAGATCATGAGCTGGCGAGCAAAAGTCAGTACAGGAAAAGCCCTCAGGAGGAGTGAAAGTGGCCGTCTATAGCTCCAGTGTGCACGCTGTTATCTTTCAGACCCACCTTCCTGAGGCCTCATCAGTTGATAGGCCCGGGTGACATTTTAAATTATGCAAAGTTGTTAAACGCCTGTCAATAAAGATACATGAATGTCTGCTTAACTGAGATCATGAAAGTATTAAGTAAAATCTTCCCTTCAAGGAACTGGATGCTACATGTTAAACTTACTTTGCATAAATTAAATGGGCATCATAAGGTAGTAACAGTCAGGAGCCGCCCAATTGGACAAACGAGAACGAGACCGTGAAGGGCTGAGGCCAGGGCAGGAGCCAGGCCGTGGGGGCTGTAATGGAGTTAGGAACCGTCTCATTTTTCACGTGGAGATTCTCAGGCGCCAGGATGAAAGAGACGTCTTACACGTGAAATAAATGTATTTGAGAAATTTAGTTACTATTTGAGTGCTCTGAGGTTTGAAAAGATTCTCAAACTCACGACAAGTCATACAGCAACATAAGAATACACGAGACACAAGAAATCTTTGATTCAAAATAGTCTGAACGGAACAGTGAGTGCCCACACAGCTGCAGCACCAGTGCACCATTTCTCTCGGAAACGTGCCTCGCTGGGTAAGCGCAAGTTAACGCCAAGACAATAAACGCAAACACTCAACAACAGACAAACCACAAAGTTTGTTGTAAAGCAGGTTAAAGTGAGGGGCGTGGCAACCTGAGAAAGATCAATTTTAAAGGGAGACAGAACAAAACGATGTGAATTAGATCTTAAACAGCTCAAAAGGTGATTGGACGCTCCACCGAAATAGGCCTACTTCCCAGGAGAGTTGTTTGTGAAAGTTTTTCCTGCTGGACCCAGAAAATTAATTTGCTAAGTCAACAATTTGTCAAATACATTTATATTTTTACCCAAAATGTGGTTAACATAAAAACTATTTATGAAACTGTTTGCAGGTTCAGGAAATGGAGCCACAGAGAAAAAAAATCATTTACTGGGGAAAAGATGGAGATAAGTAACAGCTAATACCCAGAGAGGGGGGAGCCTGAGGCTGAGGGATGGATGGGGCCTGAGCTGCAGGCTTGGGGGACGCTCAGACTGAGGGACACAGTGGGGACTCTGAGGGCCAGTGCCAGAATCTCAAAGCCCCAGAATCCTGGAGTCCCGCTGAATGCCCTGCCAATTCATGTAAAATGACTGCAGCAAAATTTACAAACAGTTAAATATAACTAACAGTTAGTAACAAATAGCTTGCTTAAATTCGGTATTTGCTGTGACTGGACTGGTTTGTAGAAATTGTTCTCAACGGATAGCCAATAAAGGAGATTTTTGGGGTATTAATATGAGCCATAAAGAATTATTTCACATGATTTTGTAAAGGGGAGAGCAATTCGCATGAGCCTTAAAAATGCTATTTCCCTTTGATAGTGGGTAAATAAATTAGTCACTGTCCTCACAGTGGACTGTTAGGCAGCTATTAAAACTATATTTTCAAAAATAGTTGATATGGAGACTCAGGATAAAATAGGTAAGTGAAAAACGGCAAGATCCAAAACTGTGTATACAAAAATAAGATCCTGTTTGATTCTTTTTCCTCTGTGCTGTTCCCTCTGCCTAGAACATGCTTACTCTCTTCTTGCATGGCTCACCTCCGTTCTGCTTAGGATCTCAATTGAACAGCACTTCACCCAGGAAGCCTTCCCTGACTTCCTAAGTCTGTGTCAGGGCCCCTGCTCCTTACTCATGTCGTGCTCTGCTCTTCCCTTATCCTAGGACTTACCATATTGCACTGCCATCATCTTTGTCTCCCCACTGGACTACAAATTCCAGGTGGGTGTGTCCCGCCTGTGGCTATCTTATTCACCACTGAGTGCTTGGGGCACAATTGATAATAAACATTTGTCAAATCAATAAACGACAAATGAATAGTGCAGTGCAGAGGAAAGCAATTTCTCTCAGGGAGTCTGGGGGAGTGAAGGCTGATCTTTATATACATATATAGATATATATTTGTATGTCTCCTATGTCATATCTTAGTTTCAGATTATCCCCACTATGAAGGTCCCTTGCAAAGGCAGAAAGGAGTAAAGGAAAATCAGCCTAAAATCCAGCTTTCATACCTTCTTCAGCCTGGATTGATTGGCCTCTGAGAACACTTTTCTGCATGTGACCTCCTGCTTTCCTAGAGAATCACTTCATTAGCCACGCTTGGAACTCCTGTGGCACTTACATACACTAGTTCATTTGTTGTCCTGCACCATCATTTTCCTTGTATTTGTAAGTCTTGTCTTCCTTGTTCTATTTCCAGCCTCTGGCAGAAAACCCTACAGAGGCTGAGGTGCAGGCGGCAGCTTGTCATCAGTGCCGGTGACCAGACGACATAAGGAGCCACCTACATGACCATGAGGCCACAGGGGAGGAATGGGTGCTTTGCTCTTGTCACCTGGAAGGACTTCTCAGGTCTTAATAATGTGGGGAGTGGGCACTGACCTCGGGTCAAGTGTGGATTTGTAGCGTCCTTCAGGTGGACATGTTGACACTACCTGGCCTGAGTAAGACAGCCAAAACCTGGTAGGGTTCTCAGTGCGGAAATTGGAGGCCCACCCAGTATTACACACCAGATGTGGAAGCAGAACTGTATGGTGACCTCTAGTGGCGTATCTGCATACTGCAATGAATAACGTGAAACCGGAAAATGCAACAGAAAAAAATATACGTCAGACTACTCTTTTCCTTTTCGGCATTTCCTCAATCTTCTTTATATTCTTACTGAAACACATGTCAGGATTATCATAAAATCCTACCTGTGATATATATCATGCAAGTGTCTCAGACAAATCTACATATTTTTTTGAGAATTTTGAATCTATGCCTAAAGTAAAACAAATGCTTTTGAGACATTTAATCAAACATAGAAAGCTTATCTCAATTTCTCAGTATTATATGTCCTTAGGCTATTTTTTTGGTATTGTCACTGGTCAAGGAGAAGGATGAAATACGATGTTACAAACTGGGAAAGTCAGCTGGGATCTATCAACCTAGCTTGAGCGTGTTTCATGATAGGGAACTAGCCCTTTTTGCCAATTACTTATGCCCTGGTTATTTCAGGATCAGATTATTCCTGGAGATGGTTGCACGCTGGTCTGATCTGCCTGTGGAGAAGTCTTCCTTTTACGATTTGTGTGGAGGACTGAAGAACAGGGAAGGGACAGGAAATCTGAGACAGTGCCTTGCACTACTGGCCTCCTTGGTGTCTTGTCACCTTAGGACTCTCCAGCCTGCTTTGTCAGAGTGGTTGAACTTCTTTCCCTGATTTTTTTTTGTTTTCTTATCATTTCAAAATTAAAATAAAATAAACACCAGTTTAGACAAATCTGACACTCAGAATAACCCTGTTAGAGAGGCAGAACAGATAGTATTCTTACTTATATGTGAGGAAACTAAGGGGTGGATAAGAGATTGCAAATGTGTTACTTGATTTGATTTGGCCCTAAGTGTTCGTTAAACATATCGAGTTAGTTGCCAATATTTAAAAGGAAGTATATTTTGTTATTGATTTATTTTATTTATTTATTTGCCTGAAAAACTTCCAGATTTATTGAGCACTGTTAACACACAGATCAATAGCCCCAAGCCCGGAAATCATGAAGAAAACTACAAGACACATCATAATTGCTCAAAATCAATGATTAACAGAAAAGCTTAAAAGCAGTCAGTGAAAAAGACACAGAAGAACAAAAATAAGAAGAGCAGATTTCTGCTAAGTGTTCCTAGCCACTTTGACCCAGCTGATGTTTATATATCCATTGCAGCAGTAGGGTATCATTCTTCACAAGTGTTCTTGGAGCATTTACTGAGACAGACCATTTTCTGGGCTATAAAATAAATCTCAATAAATCCAGTGTTTTGGATTTTAACCATTCTAATAGGTTGTAGCCGTCTCATTGTTTTGTTTATTTATTTGTTAATCTTTCTTATGTTTTATTTCATTGGAGAGAAGTTTTCTTTTTTTCTTCTTTTTTTTGAATTTTTGTTTTTATAGCAGTAACATTGGATTATAACATTATATAACTTTCAGATGTACATCAAAATATATTTCCAATTCTGTGTAGATTACATCGTGTTGACAACCTGAAGACTAATTATATTCCATCACCACACACATGTGCCTAATCTCCCCTTCTGCCCTCCTCCCTCCCCTCTTCCCCTCTGGTAACCACCAATCCAGTCTCTTGTGCTGTGTGTTTGTTTGTCGTTCTTTTTATCTTCTACTTATGAGTGAGATCATATGGTATTTGACTTTCTCCCTGTGACTTATCTCCCTTAGCATAATCCCTTCAAAGTCCATCCATGTTGTCACAAATGTCCATATTTCATCATTTCTTATGGCTGAGTAGTATTCCATTATGTATATATATCACATCTTCTTTATCCATTCGTCCCTTGATGGGCACCTACGTTGCTTCCAAGTCTTGGCTATTGTGAATAAGGCTGCAATGAACATAGGGGTGCATGTGTCTTTATGCATTTATGTCTTCAAGTTCTTTGGATAAATACCCAGCAGTGGGATAGCTGGATCATATGGCAGATCTATTCTAAATTTTCTGAGGAAACTCCATACTGTTTTCCATAGTGGCTGCACCAGTTTGCACTCCCACCAGCAGTGTACAAGTGTTCCTTTCTCCCCACATCCTCTCCAACACGTTTCCTGTCTTGTTAATTATAGCCATTCTGATGGGAGTGAGGTGATATCTCATTGTAGTTTTGATTTGCATTTGCCTGATAGTTAATGATGTTGAACATGTTTTTTTGTACATGTTGGCCATCTGTGTATCTTCTTTAGAGAAATTTCTGTTCAGATCTTTTGCCCACTTTTTAATTGGGTTGTTGGGTTTTTTGTTGTTGAGATGTATGAGTTCTTTGTATATTTTGGATGTTAACCCCTTATCCAATATATGGTTTGCAAATATCTTCTCCCAATTGTTAGGTTGTCTTTTCATTTTGTTGATGGTTTCCTTTGCTGTGCAGAAGCTTTTTAGTTTGATGTAGTCCCATTTGTTTGTTTTTTCTTTTGTTTCCCTTGCCCGGTCAGACATGGTACTTGAAAA